ATGATGGCCTCCAGGATAAGCTGCTCCATCACCTTTCCCGGGATGGAGGTGAGGCTGACCGGCCTGTAGTTCCCTGGGTCCTCCTTCTTGCCCTTTTTGAAGATTGGAGTGACATTGGCCTTTCTCCAGTCCTCGGGCACCTCTCCTGTCTTCCAGGACCTCTCAAAGATGATGGAGAGATGAGCTTGCAGATGTTGGGGTGGCAGTGACTGGCACATTGCGGGGAGGTGGCCCCCCATCCCTCCCCAGCCTTGGGCATGGCAGGGGTTGGTGGCAGCATGGTACGCAACTCCTCTGGTTATCCATGCTGGATTTCTTTCTTTGGGCTTCACCTGATGGGTTTGGGCGTGAAAGGCCAGTGCTACACTGCTGAGCATCCTCATCCAGGGCTTCCTTACTGCGTCCTCATGTGCTTCATCCAGATCCCCCATAGTGCTCAAGTTAGAAGGATATTTATTCACTTGGCAGGTTATTAATATTAGCTGAAATACCCTTTTCCACATTGTTCTGCCCTACTTAATATGGTGATCAGCATCGCAGCCTGTAGAGCTGGGGATGATTTGCAGTTGAGTATCCATTAGGGATTTATTGGCTTCGGGGCTGAATTGCCAGAACTGCAACTGCCAAAATACTTGAAACACTTCCACTGGAGAGGAGACCTTGTGGGAAAAGAGCACTCGCTGTTCTCGTACGCAAGCAGTTCCCACTGAACCTCTGTTACTGGCAGCGAGCACGCCCAAGCCAATAAAAAATTATATGGTATCCAGAACGCCAATGAAGCATGAACCGTGTGTTGGATGACGATGGGGAGCAAGCTACCGCTCCCAGCTTGCGATGCTGGTGTTGATGTTTGCAGTGGCTCCCAGTCTCATGGGGTTGCTCAGTGGGTGGGTTTAATCCAGGACATGATTAAACGTGGGCACGGTTTGTATTAACACGACCTTGCAGCCGGTTTAAATAGGGTGTGAGGCTGTTTTCAGGGGGAAAAGTTACTTTTTTGCTGCTTTTCCTTATGTACTGCAAGCACTTCTCATGCTAGCACATCGAGCCTGGAAGGGCAGAAGGCAAGATGTCATTAAATGAGGTGGAAGCTGAAAGAGCCAAGAGCTGAAGGCATTAAAAGGAAAGGCAGAAGATCCTCAGGTCCTTTGTTTCAGAGAAACTGGGTTTGCAAGGGAATGATTTGGGGCAATACTTGCTTTCCAGCAGCAATTCCCTTTGAGCAGGCATCTGTGGCTGCCCATCCCTCCCGCCTCCCATCCCTCTGGAGGGTTTTAACCTCTTTTTCCCTTGAGGCAAATGGAGAAGGAAGGGAGAAGCTTGCTGAGGGGATTGCTAGCAGGTTTTTCTGGGGAAGCAATCACTGGCTGTGATGCTGGCTCTTTTTGTGGCCATGCTGGCCCATGGCTCAGCAGCTCGTCCTGTAGGAGCCACATAGCCAAAACCAGCCCAAAATTACCCTCCAGAAATACCATTTCTTACCTGGCCACGGTGAGCTCATCTCAGGAGGCAGCAGACCCTGCAAGCGAAGTCTTGGGTGGGAACATCACTGGAAAAGCACATTAAGCCCAAGGGGAGAGCAGGTTTCCTGTCCCATCTTGCAGGAGCATTGCAAGCTTTGAGCAAAGATCCCAGCTGCCATGGTCCACCTGGGGAGGGTGAGCTGCCCGGGGGAGGGATCAGCATTGCCTTGGGGCTGAGTGGCTCTGAATCAGACCTAAAATGCTGCTGGGAGGCAGTTCCCACCTCGCTCCCATCTCTCAGCCCAGCTTCCAGCCTCCATCAGCTGCTAAAATCTGGTTTTCTTAATGGGAACTGGAGAATCCCCCGCCGGGATGTCCTGCTTGCCACAATGGCCCAGGCTGGGTTTGAACTCTGCAGAGCATTCTTGCAGGGCGGATTATTATTTTTCTTCAGTATCCTCAGGGAAAAAAAACAACCAAATCCAGCACACCCCAACCAAAGGAGTCCACGGCTTGACACTGCTCAGCCATGGGTCACCACCACAAACCGCAGAGCTGACACCATCCCTTCTCCTCCTGACTCTGGCATAGCGTTACCTGGCTTTTTCACGGGGGAAAAAATGATTCAGGAGTGATGTGAAGTGATGGACAAGGGGGTTCAGGGCGACTCTCTGCTGGAGAGCAGCTCTGTGGAGAGGGACCTGGGTGTCCTGGTGGATGACAGGTTGACCATGAAGCCAGCAGTGTGCCCTGGGTGCCAAGAAGGCCAATGGGATCCTGGGGTGCATGAGGAGGAGTGTGGGCAGCAGGTCGAGGGAGGTTCTCCTTCCCCTCTACTCTGCCCTGGTGAGGCCCCATCTGGAGTACTGCATCCAGTTCTGGGCTCCCCACTTCAAGAAAGGTGAGGAGCTACTGGAGAGAGTCCAGCACAGGGCTACGAGGATGGTGAGGAGGCTGGAGCATCTCTCCTATGAGGAAAGGCTGAGGGAGCTGGGCTTGTTCAGCCTGGAGAAGAGAAGGCTGAGAGGGGGCCTAATAAATGTTTATAAATATGTGAAGGGTGGGTGTCAGGAGCATGGGGCCAAACTCTTTTTAGTGGTGCCCAGCGACAGGACAAGGGGCAA